CCACGTTAAAAATAGAAGAATTCAAACCTACTAATTTTAAATCTTAGACAAATCTAACTGGGACCCAAAAACATTATATGTGAAGTCCAGTATTATAGATAAGCTGAACTTTAGGGACAGCAATGAAAAAGTGAGTCTTTTAAAATAGTAATTTTCCCAAATTATTGGCTGTGTTCTTTCTTGTAAAGAGAACAAATTGTTTGAAGAACTTGACAGAAAATGTCAGTGTTATCAGAAATTGTGGTAAACAATCTTAATTACATTGTTAAACTGCAAAGGTCTCTATCTCCTTTAAATGGCAAAGGCAATGAAGCTTTTACCATCAATTTACATCAACACTTGTGTGCAGGAGAGATGGACGTTACTGCTCCACACACAGAGTGCTGTTTCACTCAGCAGGTAATGATACTCCCCCATTGCTACTGACCACTTGTTTGCCATATGCTCACAAAGATAATGTAAAATACACACTTGAAAGATGTTCAAAGAAATCTTTTCCTTCTTCTCTTCCATTCTCTTGCTAAGTGGGGGGATGGATGAAAGCAGACCAAGACAGAGTGAGAAAGAGTGATGGGGAGGGGTAAGGGTGGAAGGTAGAGAGGGAAGGAGAGGGACAGAGAGTGAAGGAGAGAAAGAGGAGGGAGGGAGGTAGGGATGGAAAGAGACCTTTATACAATGGAAGAAAATGGACAGAAACTGTTATGGAAAATTCACTGAACTACTGGAGTCTTCTAAGAAGCACTATAAGATACTCCAGCATATGTGGATCCAAATTTGACAGAGAATACTATGGATTCAACTTGTTCTACGACTCATAAACAGCACCCAATAGTAAACTCATTCCTTTGCTAAGCATATGAAATAATGTCTATATGCCAAGAAGAAATTTTCCTTCCAAAAAATCTTCCAAGCAAAACTATTTGGAAACAAGTCATTTCCTGAGCAGCAAAACCACTGAAAATTAATTTCTTACAGGTGTGTTTTGAAGTTGAGTTTGTGCATGGATTTGCTGGTATCCAATATAGTGAATTCACATTTCAGCCTCTCTGTTACGGGACTCTGCATACACGCAATTTTCACTAAATAGCTGCCTATCTTTCAGAAAATTTCGAAGAAAATAATGCCTTCCTCTTTTCTTACATGTCAATTTAGCAGAAATTAGACAATGGGCTCCAATATTGTTGGGGGTATGGAACAGTCAGACAGAGACAGACAGTGCAATTGAACAAGTCTTGCTTCCTCAGAGAACCCAGCTAAAGTTAAATGCATGTGACATCGACACACAAAAGCTGCCTCCCTAAAACAGTGGTCCAAACAACAAGAAGAGACAGCCACAGAATCTCTCAATTCTGAGTTGTTAATTGCAATCTTATCAATTCAATTACAGTGCAAACTTGGACAAAAATAACAAATAGTAAAGAAATTATTAACATACAAAAACAAGCAAACAGCAGAACAGTTTTTCTGCGAGCACTGTCAACAAGCACACACCAAAGAGAAAAATGAAGAGAACAAAAGTCAAGCAAAACATTGTTGAACAAGCTGAACAACAACATCCAAGAAAGCTAATACTATGCTTCGTTCATCAGAAAGACCATTTTAGAAAAGGAAAATTGTGCTGGGGAAGTAAAGATGTCTTTCGATACCTCTGAAAAAGCAGAGTTTGATTTCTCACAGAGAACAAGACACTGTATGCAAGTATAAGCTTTCACAGATAAACAGGTACCTATTCCCAGGGTTTTAACGGGAATTGTAGCATGTAACAGTTATGGAACAAGGAGCATGAAAATGACTATGGACATCTTTACTTCTCATTTACATAATCTGGCAAATGACCGCTCTTCCAAATACTCCTCAGAGAGGAAGATTCTCTCTTTCAGAAAGGAGCCCATTCCATTTGGATTAACTGGACTACGTGGTGGTTGCTAACCTCACTGCTATTCTCCCTCTCTTTCTGAAGAAACAGTTCCAAAGTAAACTGGTGGACCCCCCAGCTCATCAGCTGAGGCTGTGAAACAGTGCTTCCTAACAGCCTTATTTTTTAACGAAAACAACAAGGAAACTACTAAAATAAAAAGAATTCTTAAGTTACACAAATGGAAACTGATCTTACATGGCACAATAACATTTTGCATATTAAAAGCTTGCAGTTATACAACAAACAATATAGAGAGGTGTTAAGATGATGAATACAGAAGAATTCCATGATACTTTAGTGTGATACACTGGTTTGAAAGAGCAGTGTCAAAGTCTTTCAAGGAAAAAAACCCTTCTTGAAAATTATCCATTTGACTACCAGTAATAGAAGGACACTTGTAAGAGATCTAGCATATATTATGCGGTTAAGAGTTTTCTCCCCGGTAGTTGTACAGATTTTCTCATGAAGGGTTTAAAATACATTTTGCACTAAGCCAAGTATCATATGGGTAACTAAGTCAGACAAAGATTTTCCACTTATGTTATTTCACACACTACTTTTCAATAGCAATCAAAAAAAAATTGAAATCCGAGAATCATCTTATATAGAATGTAGGCTCATTGCAGAAGCTGGAAGTTGCATTCTTCAGGACGGGTGGAAAATTTCTGAAATAAATGCTTATTTTTTTAGGGTTTTTTTTAAACTACTTTACCAGTAATAGTTGCAGCTTCAGCAGACAATGGTTGCTGATTGAGACTACTTGTTTCTGAATCTATGTGGAGTGTAGTTAGACTGGCCACTTCTTGCTCCTCGGCACTCTGTTGCTGCCCTGAAATTGCATCAACGTCAGTGGAAGCTGGCGTCCCTGCCTCAGTGCCAAAGCTGAAATCTGTATGAGGAAAGTACTGCATTAACTTACAACCTAAAAAGACCACTAATATAAAACCAAAATCCCAGCATCTCCAAAATCCTCCTTGTAAAACCTGCATCTGCATCTCCTATGCTACTAACACACTGCTGCAAAGTTTACATAAAATATAACAGTAGAAATTAACTGACTGTTATGAATCTCATTTCTGTCACAAAACGGTAACTGTACTTCTGGAGAAGTCCTGCCCTGTATTCTGCTTAGTTACACTAGGTGCGCCTACATAAGAAAAAAATAAAAATAATGAAAACATACATAAAGGAATTTATTTGCAAAATTTACAAGCTGGAAGAAATTTCCAAGTTGGTTGTTAAAGCGTTAACTAACTTCTAACTAAAAATATTATGGCAAATTATATTCTGTCAAATGGCTTTTTCAAAACTGAATGCTAAACCTACATTTCATGCTGAAATGTAGGCTTAAATAACATCACTTAGTTGCGTAACATCTACATATCTAAAAATTGTAATTTCTTCAATAAATTCTACCATATAAACGTTATTTCTCTCTCACATAATACATGGTCATAATTCCTAGCAACCATAATGACCCCTTCTGTTAAACAAGATAATGGATAAATGAATGAAAAGCATTATATTACTAATTAAAGCATGTTAATTCTACCATGATATTACACTTAGTATCTTGATTAACCTATAGCTACACAAAGACTGCTGTAACAATATCAGAAGCCCTTCTTTAAATTTTACCTAAATGTTTTCAAAAGAATTAAAATAACTTCCAAAATAAGTAACCTTCCATCTTTATATTTTGTGCAAAGCAGCTGGATATACTCCAGGGAAAAGACAATATTGCTTTCTAACTTCTGTTCACTGTTGCTCTGCTTTTTGCAATGTAGTATTCCAGTGATGTTTTGTTTAGTATACTACAAATGTGATAGCCCCTCTCAAGAACCCTGCTTGCTCCATTAACTCACTAATGATTTCACTGGGAAATCAAAATAAGCTCTCTCTACAGAAGACTGCTGGCATATAACTTAAAAGAAAACAGAAATTTGCAAGCAAGCAACCAAAAATGCTACTATTTTTGGAAAAATATACTTGCTTTCGAATTTGCGGCCATCATACTGGAAGGCACTGAAAGAGTCAGAGTGGCTGTCTGAACTGATGAGGTCACTGCTGCCCGCGCTGGCCGGTGATGTCCATTCAGAAGGCACGCCTGGGTCGTCTATAGGACGCATTTGGTTCTGTTTGTTCAATATATCAGGAAGGTCTTTAGGAACCTCCAAACTGCCAGGACTGCTTCCTCTTCTTGTTACATTCTAAACATTGAAGAGACAAATTATCTCACAATCTTGGATGGCTTCAGAACGTAACACAGTTCATAAGTACCCTAAACCAGAAACTGTCATCACACACAGCCAAGACTTTCCAAAACCCCAGACAGGCAGCAGTAACCCAGGTAGTCACAGAATTTCATAAACACAAATTTTATTTGCACAATGAATTCTTGGGCAGATACCTTAAAAAGCTAGGATTCAAACTAGCATGTGCCATACTCATATTAGGTAAGACTTGAGAGAGAAAAATAGTACAAAAGTGTGCTATCTCCAGATTATGTCTACATTACTAAAGAAAACTTGTTAACCTTAGTTCCAGACACAAGCAGAAAAAAAAGTCAACAAATTTTGTGTTTTCTGGCAACACAACACAAGAAAATTAATTTACTAATTCGTGCACTACTTTTCTTATGATTAAACCAAAACCTTGGTATTGACTTGGACACCAAAGAGAGCATATAGCTGAAATAAGGCATATAGATTTGCTCATGTAAAAGTACGGTGGTGTTCTACTTGGAGTCGTTCTTTAAGCCATTTATTTTCACAGATAGGACTGTTTGCTTGAGAGAGAAGAGAGATAAAAGTAGAAAAGACATTTTATGAAACGGCTTGAAATCTTTATGCATTATGAGACTGAAGATTACTTCCTTTTACACTAGGCCCGGTCACTTCTTTATTCTTTTACTACCATACTACTTAGAGATTTACTCAGACTAACAAGCTTTACATGATACAAGATTTTAACACTCAATAGATATAACCACCTAAAACTAATCTTAGTAAGTTGATACTGTTTTAATTAGGCATATCTATTTTGTGTACTAGATTACAAAATCAGGGTCAGTTTCAAAATAGTTACTCAAACTTATGTTGGCTGTTTTTTGTTCCCTAAAGAAAGTATCAATTCTCTTGTCTGAACGATTAAGAATCAATGTTCTTGCCAGCTATGTGAAAACAAGTAGTATTCACTCTCTTTCTCTCTTTTTCAGTTTTCACAGAAAGCTGTGGTGACTTCTGTATTATTAATTTGCAGACTAAGTTAACATTTTTTATAGACTTCAAGTTAGCATTTTCATCTTATAACTCAAGACTTACTAACAAGAACACTTTGCACCAACAATCAAGTTTCACAAATGTGAGCTCAATACTTAAGACAAAAAAGTATACATTTGGACAAACTCTATAGGTTCTCTCTTGCCATTTATAAAAGATGATTATATATAAACAAATTTTTCTAATCACTTTGAAAAATGTTCTTCTGCCCCTTATTAGCAACAACTAAACTACTTGTTGACAACTTTCTACAGAAGCGTGTCTTAAAATGACCTTAAAAAAAATCTTTAAAAATTCTGAGAAGAAAAAAGTACGGAACAATTTGAAATGCTACATCTAAATTGTTACCCATTATGTTCTTCATTTGCAACTTTTATTTAAAATTTCCCCTTTCATTGCTAGTTAATAAAACAGTGATCTCTTCATATCAGTTGTCTCATTCTGTAAGCACTCAACAGTAACCAGAAATTCTTGACTTGAAATTGATTAAAATTTCTCATTATGAATGACATTCTAAACAACATGACACTTCTGGAAAGGTGTAGGAAGAAAGCATATGAAAAGTTGGTTCAAATAGCAGAGAACTGTTTACAATAAATTATTCAACACTTGCAAGTGAAATAAAAAAAATGAAGGAAAAACATACACTGATATAAGTTTTGTAGTCTGTTGCACTGACTATTCTTGTAGAGAATAGTACCATGCTACAGCATGGCACCTAACTACATACCCCACTAAGGACTGCAAATTTACATATAAACCATTACTCTGAAAGTGTTTGCATACAAAAATCTTTACAGGCGCAACTAAGGCAGTTTAATTCAGTGAGACTATTCATCTGACAGTAGCTTCTACATTGCTGCCACAATGAAGATTTAATAGATATGGAAACACAAATGGTATAAAATGGCATTAATCTATGTCAAAGGCAAGGAATAATTAAGTGATATTCTTAATTCCTTCTGATTAATAAAACACAGAGAAATATGTTTTAACAAACTGATTTATAATGTAATTGATGAGTTCACACATATATGCAGACTTACATACTGAAATGTAGGAAGTTTAAAGGCTTACCAGTGCACTACCACTGCGGAGTCTCTCAGCTATAAATTCATCCATGAGGTCAGGAACATTTGTATTGCTGCTGCCAATATCACTATCGATAGGGTGCAGCTTTTGACTCATGTCCTCTCTATTAGCTAAAAGCAAATGAACAACTGTATATAGTAAAGAACACATCAAGACATTTTCAAAACAAAAGGTAAAAAATGAAAAAAAAAACCTTGCTAATTAACAGAAATCTAAAAAAAAACAATTGCCAAACATGCATTTTAATAATTTCCCTCTTTTAAAGCAGATTCAACTTTAAGAATTAGTATGGCTTCTTCTTCCCACTAAGCAGGGGTTAGTTGATTTCCAGTACCACCTTTAAGAGCAAGAAGCTTATAGGTAAGCACTACTCAAAGTTGTTAATGCTTGCTTTAAGGATACAGCTTATATTCTTCCTCCATATCACAAAAAATTAGTAATAAATCCTAAAAATTTTATGTGATTCCTACAGGCTCCTTCTTCATTGCATTCCTAATGAAGAGCAATGTAGTGGAAAACATAAATGCAGTTGTAATATATAATAATAACAAATGTCAATGTGGCACTGTATACAGTTAGTATAAATAGTGCAAAGAAAATCTTATGCAATAAAATTACATGCTACTACATGGAATAAAAATTCAAACTCTGGATGGTCAATGGTTATGAACAATTAATTAAGTTAATTCATTTATCAGTTTTATATTTTTGATATAAATATACCGTTCATATTTAATTGTGGCTGTTACACCTAACTTCATGATCATAGCTTTTAAATCTTCCAGTCATTCCAGTTCATGTTTTCTCTATTAAAATTTTTCCCTGGGTGTCATCTCTCATGAGACCACAGTGTAGTTTATTCTAATATTGAGGCTCAGTTAAATGTTACAGATTTCAAATAAAATGTACCTTTAAAATTTGTGCTTCCTAGATATCTTTTTCAGAAGTCTAGATTCTGCAGAGAAGTGAGTAACTTTTTTGAGACCCATGACAGTGATGCTCTCATGGTGCTATGCTTACAAAGACTGCCCTCAGGTGGCATTAACATCTCGATGCAGGATGCATTACAGAATCCCTCTGTCAATCATGCCAGCATAACAATGGGAAGAAAGAAACCTACATTACTGCTGAAAGTTAATGTATTGTTCATTTAAGGTTATGTGAACTAAGCCAATGGATATTAGAATGACAGCCTTCTTTCTTGATCAGTCCACAGAGGTCTCATATTTAGCAGGAGAAAGACTTATGATGAGACCTTCGTGAACTTCCATGATTCCAAGAAAAAAGAAAGCAATGAAAGATGTTGCCAAGATGTAACCGCATCCATTTTGATGAATGAATAAAAAAAGGTCTACAGCATGTTTTGAAAAAGATTCAAACAAAACCTTATGATTAGACTCACAGAGAACTGTCGTAATGAAATCATTTCAGTAACAGATTTCTGTTTGAGACTATTTTTTAAAAGTTATCTAAACTGACCTCCAAATGTAAATTTGAGGGGCTTTTTTTTGTTTTGGAGGAGGACAAGGAGAAAGAGAAGGAGAAGGAAGAAGAAAACACACTAAATGAACCAGAAGTACAATTAGTTCAACCTAGCTGGTCGAGAGCCAGGTCCTTCTGACAAACTACACTCACAAGTGGTATAACACATTCTGATAAAATATGCATATGCCAATCATTCAGTAGGCTGAATTTTAGGGCTCTGCGTGGCAGATGAAAATTCAAAACTCTAAAGGCTTAATCCTTTATTAGGTCATTTACTGTCTCTTCCTCTTCCCTAATCTGATGGTCTTCAGCAGCAAAGAGGTTCAACTAAACATCTTGAAAAGGAAAATTAGTAATTTACAGTACATAAAAGTAACTTATGCTGGGAGAAAAATCAGCTAGCTGCAGGCGCATGCATAACCAAACAGGGAAAGCAGTGATCATCCCAAAGCCTTTTGATTGCTTATCAGAGCTTGCTTCAGTAGCATTAAGCCAAACTGGTGCTGCCTTTCTCCTTTTGCGCTCTGCACACTGTTAGTGCTCACCTGCAGCTTTCCTTCCAAAATAGCCCATTACATGACTGTACAGATCCCTCAGTGGAGCCTCTGCTGGCATTCTGTTCTGTCTCTGTGGGGAAACATTTGCCTTCGGCTTCGAAAGAGCATGTACAACAGTTTTATAAACACCACCCAGGGAGCCCTGCTGTTGTGCTGACTCCTGACCTGATGCTCTAAAGGCACTACGAGTATGTAACTGATTAACACCAATACCTTCTTTTTGCAACATGGCTGCTTGAGTTTCTGTAGATTCCTTAATTTGCTTACTGCCACTTGAAGCAGCATTGATCGCATCTAGAGGTCTATATATTCCAGGTCTAACCAGCTCCGTGACTGCTGATGAGCTGGTGCTTGCACTGGTATTGCTGTTGCTGCTACCACTATTGCTGCTACTGAAGCTACTGAGTTTACGAAGTCTTGCTTTCCAAGCGGCCTCTTTGCTCTCAAGAGGATTGTAAAATTGAACTGATTCTGTAGATGGCCTAAAACTAACATGGACGCTATTTCTTTTTTTAGTTGTTATTTTCATTATTTTGGCCCTATGAGTTACGGTTTCAGATATACTCCTTTTAGTTGGTGACAGTTTGCTTGTGCCTGTGATGTGAGGCATTTGAGGGTTAACTTGTGCTTTAGGAAGAATTTTCTTTGCATGCGTAACACGTGAGTTGGTTACTTTTTCATTAAACTGGGCACTTCTACACTTTTCAGCTACTGCTGCTTCCACAGATAAATCTACATCAGCTTCAGTGGCTGCTTGCCTGTACAGGTATCTCTTCCCTTCTTTGCTGCTAGGACTACTTGACCCATGATCGAACACACTTTCATATTGTTTATCAATATTTAACTGTTTGGCTTTATCAAGCACTTGATTTCTTGTAAAAATGTCTACTTGAGTAGGTGCAATATTACTTATAAAGCCACTTTGGTTTCGTTCTAGGTGCAGCTCTGTGTTATCGGCTCTTTCTGTAACAGTGATGCTATTCGTGCATTGATCAGTCTGATCTCTATTTTCTAATCCATCCAATGGTAATCTATCATTCCTATTTACGGATGTATCAACTTCGTGAGCAGAAGCCTCACATTTATCTGTCTCAAAGTTAGCGCAAAGTTCTTCTTTTTCTTTAAGATATTCTCTCAGAGAGGAAAGGAGATCATCTTCAGCTTCAAGGTCAACATACTGGCTTTGTTCAAAGGCTGTGTTTGCAAATTCTACCGGCCCTATTAAATGACAAAGATGGTCATAAATACTATCCCCAACTTCCAAGGAGGACTCTCTGCTATTTGTATCAGTGATATGGCTTTCAGTGGATCTATGCATTGAAGAGGTCTCAGTGGAACTCTGTAAGCTTGGAGCATGATGGGATGAACTGTCAATGACAGGAACTGCACCTTTGGCTCGTTCAACTGCAAACGGTTCCAGGATGTCAGAGGTGCTGCTACTTCGTGGCAGTGGCTGTTCCTCATTTAATGCACCAAAAACTTCACTTGGAGCATCCTCACTCTGTGAAAAATGTCTGACTCGAGGTGGGCGTGGAAGAATTTGAGCATCGTCAATGTCTGTAGGAAAAACATATATGTAACATGCACTAAAATTTACATACAGAGGCAGTATTTATTTACCACTACATCCTAACTGCGTGACTTTAAAAGCCAGGAAAGTCCAGAGCCTTGTTTTCTTAAGCACAACAAAAATATTTTTTCCAGTACTAGAGTGTTACAAACGCACGCACATAATATCCAGTACAGAATGTAATATAAATGAGTTAGAACATCAGAACACAGTTTTAAATGTTAACATGCATGAGAACAAACAGTGAGACCATGGAATGTTTGGAAATACAGTTAAAGCTAGGGCTGTGCCAATAGGTTCAATAATTCAACCAATATTATTCCAGTTAGATTGTCCAGGAAATGGTTACCTGGAATACAAACTAGCTTAACCGTAGCACCCTTCATGGAATTTACATCTTCGGAAAAATGCACAACTCCAAAGAGAACAAGTAAGTCTTCTGGAAAATTGGAATTGTCTGTTGAATGGCGAACTACTACTTTTTTCATAACTTGGGTGAATATATATAAATTACTGAAATATCTGAAAGAATACTATCATACAACTACAAATATTATGGCATATGTAATACAGCATATACCTAAAGACTAAAGTTTTTAAATGAGAGGGAAGAGCTGGCCCTATATGGAAAAGATGACTATACTTAATGGATAATTTAATGATATACTCTTTCTCCCTAGAAGGATGTTTTGTGTCTCATCTTCAAACTGTGACACTAAATACTAAATGGAGGTTTACCTCCCCCTCTTCCAGTTTTACTCAAGCAAATGTGAGATTTATGAGAATTATCAAATTAAGGACTCTGCTACTGAAAAACATTCTGCAGCTTCACAACAGTTAACATCAGAGTAAAACCACTTCTATTCATGAAAAGACCAGAACCTTTGTTATGACTGTTTAAATCAGTGAAGGAATCAGTCTCTGTTGAGACTGCTCATATGTTAGCATCAGTACAAATCACAGCTAACTGTAACTAAGATGCAGTTCCAACACGGATCACCTAGAATTGTACAGAAGTTATCTTCAGCCCACTTCACATTATCCACCAAATAAAGAACCTTCATGTTCCTCTTTAGATTTCCTGATACGACTAAGTATCTCTCACAGACAATTCACCTAACTGCAAGAATTCGAGCTATCCCTTGCAGTCTTTTTATGAGACAGGCACTTGAACAGTAAGGTAAAAACAGACTTCTCAGTTTTCTGTTGGGTTTCTTCTTGACAGAATCTCTTATTCTCCAGATCTATTTTTTACTACCTACCACTTAAGAAGTTGTAGATATGCTTTTAAAGTCAGGAAAAACAATAAAGAGCTTAAATGAATACCAACAAGGTCTACTTGTCACAATGAACAGACTTACCTTGTTCTGTCTAGAGGGTTTATCTTCAGGACTGCAATGGTGAATTTACTTAAAATCAGCACAAAATTTAAGCCCCTTTCCCTGCCCTAAATCTGAAGTTTAACTGCCAAAACAACTATTTCAAATTATTACTTTGTGGATCTCTATACCTATTTCAGTAATATTTAGTAATGATAACCTGAAGTGACCTTAAAAATCTGTTTTAACGTGCTCACACTTTTCTGAGAATGTTAGAGCTGGAGCTGAATTTTATCTATTCCAACTGAGCAAAGCATACAAACTGGAGGAATGAAATACATCTGTACTTAACTAAATGTATATGTTGGAAGAAGATGAAAAATGGTATTTTCATGTTCAATTTTTCTGAGAAGTTAAAATTTGAAAATTAAAGTTTGGCCTGATACAAAGTTTACAAAGCTATGAGACAGAAAACAAAGGTACTGAGAATCATCATATACAGCATAATTTATTACCCCCCTCCCCTCTCTTCAGCTTTGATAAGCAACACATTTCTCATAATTGTTCTTGTTCAATTTATTACCAACTCTATGAATTAACACCCTCTGAAATGAATGGTGTCTCTCTCTAGTTGCAATTGTTATTTCAAACACTCTATTGACTTGGGCAGAGATTAACACAGGTTATGCTTACATAGTCTCAAAGCTATTTCTCACAGCTGCAAAGAAAGGACCATAGGATTCAGTCAAAAATATCTATGATAATGTTATATATGGGATTAATATATGTAACTGTGATAACATCAATCTCACCTTGAGCCCTCAATATGCATCTTTCATAACATTTATAAACTGAAGCTTACCTAAAGCAGCAGCCTGAGGATTGCATACTGTGCGTGCATGCAGTGATTATGATTTTCTAGAACATTAAAAATTACTGGATGGAGAACTCCAAACGCACGCCAAGCAGCTCCACACATTGAAATAAATCCAGATACATTTATTTCAATGTTGATCCAGTCTTAATTTTAGGTGCTTATGTACGCATGACTAGCACATACAAGTACATAAACGTTGTCAAACAAATGTGTAGTGCTTGTGCCAATAGAGATTTATTTTTTTTGTAGAATAGAGGAAGAAATTAAGGAAATGAAAAACATACTATTATTGCCATACCAGCACTGATAATACAATGTTTAAAAACTCCAACGAACAACTCCTTCACAACCAGGGCTCACCCTTGCACACAGTCAAATCAGGACACCATCAATTCCTAAGGAGTTTTCGCTAAGTACACTGGAGTTCTGCACCAGAAGGCTGTGTATCTGACACACTACACATACTTGGGAGAAACGCCTGTCTGGTCCCTAGTATGTTACAGTGAGGAAGAGATTGAAATTGGTAGTTCTAGCCAATCTCACCCAATCACAAATTTCTTTAAATCAACCTTACTTCTCCTTTTTCTGCTAGAGGGCAGAAAGAAAAGGTAGTTCTTCAGCATCAAGTGGAGATAGATATGTTAAAATACAAACTCATGGACAAACACATTCTGGCAAGACAGCATGAGTGTAAATAGAAGATTCCCACACAATGTTGGGACAGGATTATATTTTGTCATGAAAATATAGTACAGAAGGTGGAGGAAAAAATAACGTTTTTCTTCTCAGCTTTCATTTCAGTCCTTTTAGAAGAATATACTAATTCTGTGAGTTTCTGGGATTAATGAATAATTACAGCCATACTGACATGAAAATTACGATTTCTTTATATTTAATCTTAATGATTACTTACTGACTAGGGAGCAAGGTTGTAAAGGCATAATATACATCTCCCTTTCATGTTAATACTTCCTTTGATTCTTTTAGCCCCAGTGGATAAGGAAAAATCTCCCACCTGCAATTCACTAGACTGCCATTGTGGCCCATTGCTTCCAGGAATCTTGCCTAATCTCACCAATACTTTTTCTCAGAAGCGGTCTTGTACCTGAAAATCCTCAACAGAAGCATGAACGAATCATTATTTTACTAGTTATCCTGCAAACATATAAGACTGGATTTCCTATGATTCTAACAGGTTAAAACAGAAGTTCTTTTTTAGAAATATTACAGATTTGCAACAACTGCACTGTACCAAATCGCTTTACTAAACAAACATCTTAAAAGCATAAATCTCCACTTCCATTTTTTGCATCCTGTTGGAAAAGTTGCAAATGTTCTGCACGTGGAAATACAGCATAACTTAGAAACTACATGAAAAAATTACAATTTTAGGAAAAGTACCTTCTATGAGGCTAGATTACTAAATGTCAATATTGAGCTTTTGCAATAAATTTTGTTAACATGTTAACATACTAACTGATCTTCAAGCAGAAACATTATGTCTCAATAAATAACAAACTACGGTGGGGTGTTCTGCCTTCCTCTTGAAAATTAATATACTGTACTGTACATAAAGCAAAGGTTTTGACATAAATGCTTTCTTCTGGACTACCTGTCAAGATTTACCAGTTTTCAGTGAGTCAATCTTTCAACGAGGAGTTTCACAGATAAAAAGGAGCTGAATACTAGTTCAGAAAACATAGGATGAGCACATCCTGTTCTTTTGGAATCATTTGAAATACCCTCTCCTTCAAGCTGTGCTGAAGGAAAGTGAGTTTGGATAACAGGGATATTCATATAATCATAAAATAAGAGGAAGGGCTGTCACAGCAAGCTAAACATCATTCATTACCTATAGCACACTTATGGCAGAAAAAATCTGACTACTTCCCAAATTACATGTGGCACATCTGGACATAGAAGGCTTTCAGAAAAAGAGTATATTTGCTGTAAGAAGAAAAGGCAAGGAAAATTATAAACCTCCATGTTTAAAAAAAAAAAAAAAAAAGAAAGAAGAGAGAGCACAATTTAAAAATGAAGAAAATTAAAAGAGCAAAGCGCATTCTGATCCAGTGGATAGTTTTTCCTTTACTCTGCTACTTCTCCATCAACACTTTAATGGCTTGCTTTTCTTCATCAGAGGTTTTTAGTTTTCTGGTAATACTCAAGATTCTTGGGCAGACCATGATGCTGTTTCAATACCCATCTGCTGGAAAAGACACCAAAACCAGGAAGTGTCTAGGACTTTTTCCATGTTAGAAGTGCAAAGGTCTGTAAAGTTATTTCACTTTTAAGAATTACATTGGTCGTGCAGTTTTGGTATCAGACGAGTATCAACAGAAAGGATAATAGCAAGATAGTCATCAGGTTTGAGATATATTAGAATATGCAAGCCAGGACTTTTCAGAAACATGGATGACAAAATTGACAGCAAAAGCACTTTTGCCTTCTTTAAGACAGGATAATTAAGTATCAATGACTATATGACAAACGTAATAGTTTGCTGTGAAAGCTCATTCCCTTCTGCAGGTGCTCTTAAGGTCTTCATTAAGAATTTACTTTTTACAACAATGTTATGGGCAGGCAAAATCTATTTCCCAATAGGTTGTTCATGTATCGTTCCTACAAAAAACCCTATCTTCCAAGTTCTAATAATTCATAGCTCAGAAGCTATATCCATTGGACTCATATGTCTATTAATTCATTACACATAATTTGTACTTTATTAATCTTTTTGTCTGTGGTGTCAAGATTTGCATTCAAATGCTTTATAGTTTTTCATTCTGAAAGT